AGAAGGGAAAGGCAGACACCCATCTTGGGGCAGTGCAACTACCTGGCTAGATGCTGTAAAGGGGTCAGCGACCCCAACAAGACCACGGTCCCTCCCGGCAGCCCCATACCTGGCACCGGGGACACTGCTGGTGTAGGTCTTTCCGGATGCTGCACTGCTCTGGGTGAGGGAGCACCAGTGAGCTCTTCCCCAGCAGCCGCTGGGCGTTTTCCTCTGCCGTCTCTAAAGCCCGCAGGCAGTGATCGCAGGCTGCAGGGAGACAAGACGCATGGATGCCACAGTGAGACCACAGTCTTCAAAAAGGAAAGGGACCAGAGCCCGGGGCAAGACAGCACGACTGGTACCAACACCACCAGAGTGGACCATCTCCGAGCTGGAGGCGCCAGTCTTTTACTGGTCCCTCCATAGGAAAGACCATTTCTGCTGCAATTTAAACCCTCCCAGCCCTCATCTGCTGCCCTGTAATGCTGGGAAGCGTTTAAAGACCGTAAAATGGCAAGCGTCCCCATGTCGCCAACCCGCAACAGAGCTCAGCACACAGCAGGGTCTACGTAGGACAAGAAAGTTTAAAATCCTGCTCTTACAACACTCATTTTCTGTTCTGACGCCTCCAGAGAGCACTGGCACCTTCTTTACACACTGTACCCAGCCATGCGAAGATTGGGATAGGACCCACGCCACTAAAAAATCGGGGTTCCCATACAGATGGTGCCCAACGGTGGCGCGTGGTGCTCTCCTCCGGGGTTGATGGAAGTCACCATCCCTCAAACGCCCCCAGCATTTTCAACTTGTCAACAGTTCGTTTAGCGCAGAGGTAGAAATGGCAGCAGGGCCACCTTCCCAGCGGTGCTAAGACAAACCCAAACCTTCTCCTCGAAAACCAGGCAGCTCCTTCGGGACCCCGCGGTCACCTCACCAGGGCAGGTGACGGGGACGTGCCACCACCGCCGGCCGCTCACCTCGGTAGTTGTACAGGGCGTTCCAGAGGAACTGGGACGACACCACCGTACGCTCCACGAAGACGGTCTCCCCTTTGCGGATGTTCTTGGTGGCGAACAAGCCTTTCCCCTGCCGAGGGAGAAGCGTGGGTCAGGGGACGCACCCGAAGCCAAAATCCACCCGTAGGCTGAGGGTACACACACACCCCCCACACCCCCCCACACCGCCCAGCCTGAGGGGACGCTGCCGGGC